ACACTTCATCAGACTTTGGTTAGCCACATTTAGGAGACTTAATGCAGGCAAAAGCAAGGTCGTATATCTAGAAGCAAACACTACAGAGGCTATTCACAAACATAAGGCTACTTGTAGCTTTGTAAACAATGATTTTGAAAATGATGTGGGAAATTAATAGAACTACATAGCAGTAGGTCAAGAACAAAAGGATGTGTATTTCTTGACTCCTATGGCAGAGCTGTTATGATCAGTACTGGAAAAACTGCATCCCATTTACAATATAAGTCAAGCCATGAAGGTAGAAACCAAATACTACTGTAAAAGGTTAAAGTAATGCTCTTTTGAGCTTGAAAACAGGAAACCTAACTATTGCAATAAGATCTAATGGTGATGGAACTGATAGATGAAACTGGGTGTGGGCACACACAGTTTTGGAAAAGGAACTGTAATTTGTAAGTGTGGTTTTGCTCCCTAAAACTGTAATGGGTTTCTTGGAGAGACTGAAACAGGCATCTGAGTGCAGGTTACCTGTGGTCTGATGTACAGCAGCCCTGGAAAAACTACTGCACAGGATAGTCCTGATACAGCAGGCAAAAATGCAGTATCAGCTGTGTTCCTGGCATGATAAGGACCGCAGCCAGAGTGCCCACCCACTGTGAAGTTAGCCAGGTGACGAATACATGGTGACTGCTTAATACATGATGCAGGATACCCTGTAATGTGAAGCACAGGGAAATGATCAAATTGTTAGAAGGAAAACCAAATTGCACAGCTATTGGATGCAAGCAGCTGTATTGCCTGGGCATCATAGGGCGCTCTGCTCATCTTGGCTGAAGACCACTAAAGGAGCATGGGATGCTGGACAAGGCTGAGGTGAGGATGTTCTCTACAAAAGTAGGTTCAGAAAGTGTTCCTGGAGTGGCCAACTGTGGGTAGAGGGTAAGCAGGTGCATTTTGGAGATGCCAGTAGTGTACTAGCATCTGTGATGCTCCAGTCATTCGCAGTGCACGTAGTGTAATGGTTAGGAGAGGTGGGCTCTGGGAACAGCAGCAAACACTGTTAATCAGACAGCACATCTCTTCCTATGGATATTAACGTAGGTCCAACAAGAGCTCTGAAAAATATTCTCAACATCTAGAGAATGCACAATATGAAAATATTCTGAGCAAGGAAGTACTTCAAATTACATTATTAGCAAGTGACCACACAGAAACATGCTCAATTTCTACTGATTTTTTAAATTAAATTATTAGTTAAGCTTATGCTTTAGCACTTCCAGAAAGAGGAATGAATTCCTGAATGCAGGACTACCAAAAATCTCTCAAAGTTTTTCAGATGAGAGTTAAGTCATGACTTTGTAAGGTCTAACCTGCGAATAAAGACTTAACCAAGATGAACTGATTAGAATGTGAAGCAAATGAAACTTAAAATAGAACAGCAGCATGGTTCCAACATTTTAAAACAAGGACAATTGACTGTTTAACAAGGGCTGTGAAAATCGTCCAATGCCTGTAGGTCTTTCAAACAAGCATGTCTTTCTTCAACAATAATGCTAACAGATGTGTGGCATTTCTTGCCTGGAATATGCTGAATGGTATAATGATGTTCATATGCTGTCAAGTCTTAAAACTGATTAATCCTTTTTTTCCCCCCTTTAAATAAGAAATGTTGGCTCATCTATACAGTGGAGTTAAAAAACAGTCACTCCAAGCACCATATTTTTGAACAATTGCAGCTTTTATCTCTGACATGATTCAGTCTTCCAAAGTCAAAGTTTTAAACCTGTTCAGCTGTCTCCCTCTGTCCATTCAAAATACCAGTGTTCTCCATAAAAGGAAGGCACAGTAACAAGTCAATTTTTCTGCTTTAGTTTTGCATGTAGGTTTCAAGCTTCATCAGCCCAGGGTCGCATATCAGTAAGTGTAGGAAGTCATTTTCATGTTTAGTGTCACCTAGAAACCAGAAAGATTTTTTTGGTAATTTGTACTGGCAATAGTGCTAAGCTGGTCTCCTTGATTTCTCACCATCTTTTCCCTTTCTCATACCAAAAAAAAAAAGAACAAAAAGTACAGACTTCTGTTTTCTAAAACCTCCAGAATCGGTTTAGCTGAGATAGATTTTCCTGGACTAAGATAAGTTTCAAGAAGAGGGCTTGCTCCTTAGCAGTGCAGCTATGAAAAGCCTCACTCATGGAGAGAAGACACATGTTCCAGCTCTTGTCTTTTGCATCCATTTCGCTGGTGGAGCAATATCCTGCACGGCAGCTATGTTTTTCAATCACACTCCTCCTGCTTTCAATGCACATGGCTTGCCACTGCTCTTTACAATACTGTAAGGTCTCTGCAGGCTTAGAAACTCAGAAAGGGAACAGTCCTAATTCTCTATCACTTGCAAGATAGCCTCACTCTGCTTTACTTGTTACCTTGACAAAGTTATGGAGTTGTTCATCTGAGTAGAAAGCCAGCACTGCTCCTCATCTCTAAAAGCAGCTTTAGTAAATGCTCTCTGCTAGGATACAAAATTGCTGCAGTGACTCCCATAGTGCCAGAAACCATTCTCATTTCACAGTAACTCATCCAGCTACTGGCTTTAGCAGCAGCAGCAGCAGCCTGTGCTGTAAACATGCATCATCAGCTCTGCCTTCCAAAAGTTGGCATTAAGAAACAGTATCTTCCAGCTGTCCAAAGTAAGTCAGCATGCTGACAGCAGCATGGCCCAGTATCAGGGCAGAAAATTGCTTTGGGCTTCTAAACTCTCAATGATCATGTCACTGCAAGCTGGGAGTCAAGAAAAATGTTCATCAGGGCCCCCAACTAAAACAGCAAGAAACTCTAAAAAGTACCTGGACTCTTTCAGTGTGACAAAGAGAATAAAAGATTTAAGCATTTTTGACTGTTTTGGATTAGGAAAGTTAGCACTTCAATACCTCATTTGTGTATTTCAATTTTGGCCTTGATTTTTATTTCTGTTCATATTTCAAGCCCTCCAAGAATTCCATAGTTATTAAATTCAAAGGAGGAGGAGTTGCTATCCCAGTCTTACAGACAGGGAAACTGATACATGGAAAAGCTAAAAATGGCTTGAAAGCCATTACACAGTAAGTGTTGGCTGTGGAGCAGGAGAGGACTCAACACAGATCCCACTTCTGCAGTGCCGTGAATTAACCATGAAGGTCACAGTTCCCCTCAGCAGTATGTCACCATAGTGTAGGATACTCTGAGTTGCTGGACATATAAGGCTATACGCATACACAGTTTGGTCTGAATTGATATTTTAAGGTAGAAAATTGGTATGTGAACCAGTTGCAGAGTCCAGAGATGACCAACAAGATGACCAGAGGTTTTGGTCTGTTCTTGCAAACCCCTTGTCTGAGCTGAGATGGGGTCCTCTCTGCTGGTGTTCAGGTTTTTTGACCGTGCCCTTCACTATCTGTGCCAGCTTCCAGGCTTCTGGTCTTTTAAGCTCTGAATAGCCATTTCACACTTAGCTGGCTGCTCTTCCTGAATGACCTTTGACTGCAAGCTCTCCAACATAAAACTTCTTTCACCAATACTTCTTCAAAACCTTTTCACCAAAACTTCTTTCACTTCTTTTTCCAACTGTTGGAAAGTGGGTTTGCTTTTCTAGGTTTACTTAATTATTCTCTATGCAAAATAAACAGAATATTTCTGTACATCTATTTCTCACCCTGTCCCTGGGAGAACTGTTTCTTAGACTACCCCTTGCTCCTTGTCATGTAAGCCCCATTACATCTACAGAAAGATCACAGGGATTCAGCTTGTACAACATAAATTAGAGACTGTTTACTCTTCTCCCACTGTTCTTAAAATGTGTGCTCTGTTTGTCTCCTGATAAAAACTCGTGGTGTGAGCTTTTCCTTGGCATACAAGGGATCTTTCATAGCTCACAGATTGATGGAAATGTTTATTATTTACCCAGATCCATAAGAACACAATATAGATTCTAGTAAACTTCATAGAGCTTTCACTGTTAATCAGAGATCTTAACATGCCCCCCCCCCATATTTTATAGCTGTGGGAAAACATGGCTACCAGTCTGTTCTACTGCTCAGAGCTATTTTTGCTTTTCATCCTACACCCTGTCTCCCTGAGCCTCACATTTTTAAGCTGAAGCCAAAAAGCAGCCTGACAATAGGGCCGCAGTTATCAGGCAGAAAGAGATAGTCAGCAATTGTTCAGGGATAGCCAGCAAAATTAATGCCAGGCAGTGCAGTTGGTTGCACTAAAGATTATGTGCGTTGCCAAACAGCAAAGAAAAACAATAAAAGCTCTTTAAGGGTTGTTTTCTGTTCTACTGAATTGGGAATTTAACCATGCTGGAAATTAGTAGAGAAGCCTTGCACCTGCGCTGGGGGAATGGCAGGAGCTTTCTACCCACTTTGTTTGGCAGGATCTTGTTGGAAATAGGAGTGCCTACATCCCAGCACTGACCTACTTGGGTTCTCAACATGCAGTAATGAAAGCATATGGCAAAGGGCTCCAAATTAATTATAGCTACAAGTTTAGCCTCTGCCTGAAGCTGGCATTCAAACTTCCTATAAGGATTACAAGTAAAGATACTTCTAGGGAGCAATAGGGGTAGTGACAGGAAATCTGAATTCTGCTCCTTTCTCTCAGTCTCTTGCTCACTAAGGGACTTTATTGCAGCTGCTAAGAAAGTGCCCAAAGCAATGTCACCAGCAGCAATGACACCTGCTCTGCTGAGCTTCTGGAACCAGCAGTGGGCTGGTCTGTATGCTCCTCCACTACTAAGGAAGCAGAGGTTTGTCAGGAAACTGATCCCATGGCTTTTAAAGCATGAATGTGAGAATAAGCTTTAAAAAACCCTCTAAACCATCTACTGTATTCATCTATTGATGGGTAGCCCACAATACCTTTGGTGTACCTTGTACCGCTAGTTAAACATAAATTTACTTCCATTTGTTTCCTTTCTGTATTTGCGACATCCTTAATTTCTCTTAATTTCTCATCACAATTTCTCATCTTCTCATCACAAATATTTCATCATGATCTCTGGGGACAACTGTACTTTTCATTTGTCAAAAACACAGGTGTCAGAACTACCCAGCCCGGCAGCCCTTGTCAAAACAGTTCCAGGTCTCTGTAAACACATTCCAGTCCAACACAGAGAGGTGCGGCAAGACTATCACCTTTTACCCAATTAGTAAACACAACTGATTTGTGTGGTAAAAAGACTCTTAGCTCCCTTGTGCCAGCTAATAAATTTCTCATAAACAGGTCCTTCGGGAGGGACCAGTTCTAACCTACGTACACCAATATCTGTAACAGAAACCTTTGCGTAATCAACACAGGCTGGATCTAAGCATGCTTCTCAAAACCTTTTGTTCTTCAAAATGCAGAGTATGCTTACGGAATAAAAAATACTCCTGTTTTCCAAGATTGTATCAATGCCATTAATATAAATAAGCTGATTAGGTAACGCAGAGGATCCAACCCACAACCTTCCTCTAGTGCAGAATGGCTGTGCGACATGTTGGAGCTGGCCTTAGGTCTGAATAGTATATGCTCAACTTTTTCCATTCTCCTGGAAGTGGTACATTATTATAGCGATAGCTGTTTTACCCTGCTGCTTTTGACTTGCTATTTCCTCAAGTCTGTTGAGGTTAATACCAGTTTTCCTTTCCTAGCTAACCTCCAAGGAAATATCCGCAAACTCTTGACATTTTAGAGCTTCTCAGATCCAGCATGCATCCTGGCCAGCCAAGCAAGCAAGTCATTTAGAAGCCATTGCCACATTGCCATCTTCCTTCTCAATACCAGGGGAGAGAAAGGGGAAGGAGAAAGAGATCCGTTGCTTATGACAAGGCTTGAGGCTGCAAAGCAACATGGTCAGCAGTTGAGATCCTCAGTGATTGCATTGAGCACTGGACACTTCTGCAAGGACTGCAGCATTTGGAAGAGAAGCTCCGCCTTCTCTCTTGAAAGGGGGCTCAGCCCTGCATTTGATGGAAGATGCAGTCAGGACAGAAAATTGGAACTGAAGTTTTTGTTTTGAATGCCTGAAGCACTCTCCAGCACTTGATTTTCTGATGTTTGTGTGGCATTCAGCAATGCAGAATCTCCTATACTAGGTGTCATCTTAATAGCTATGATAGTTTTGAAGGCCATCCTGTAAAAGCAAAACCATCCCACCCTATCATCTGTAGTTTGTGCAGTGATCAGGTAACATTACCACTGGCTCCCTTAAAATTTAGTTTTAAGTGCCTGACAGAGACAAAACATGCGTCTTTATGGCTCCTGACTGATCCAAAGCCAAATATTCCAGTAAATGGCAATAATCAAAATCCATTAAGTGGATGGACCAGTTGTGGCTTGTTTTCCCTAGCTTTTTACTGTTATGTTTTTCATTAGTAAGAAGGCAGATCTGTTTCTTGTAACTTTGTTAGCATTTATCAGAAAGCTATCTGCTATAGTGAGGCCATAAGAGTTCCTGGGAAATATATATAACGACCAAAACAAGCAACCTCACTGAGACTTCGTTTGTAAATTTGCTTATCTTCTAACTTCTAGTCACCATGACACAGGGCAGATGGCTAGATTTCTTTCAGTCTGATTTGATTACTACTTGTTTTTGTCTCTTCTGCGAGAGAGCACATGAGACTCCGCACGGATTTAGTTGGGAAAGACCTCATCCTAACAGTCCCACCAAGGTAATCTTGTTACTCCCCAATCTAGTGCCCTTTCTGGTGCTCCTAATTGTAAAGAAACATCAAAAGCCAGTGTACACAGCTGAAATTTAGTTGAACTAAGCACCTGACCTACGTAGTTTGAATTTTATCTATTCAAAATAGAAATCTCATAGCAACAAGCACAGTAGAAATACCAACGTGGACAGGTAGCTTCAGTTAGGGATGGAAAACTCTTAGTAGTTCAGATCCAGGACTGGGATTTCAGATTTAATCTTCAGGCTTGCAACCCATGTCACTAGGATTTCAGGCAAACCAAAGTATTTCTTCTTGTTTTCTATTTCTGCCTCTACTACTCTGTGCTTAGTATTTAGAAAGCTCCCCAAACCTCTCTCAGCTTTTATCTGCCTAGTGCAATACACACAGGGACTCAGTTCCTGCCTCGGGTGGTTTTCATTCAGCTGGAGCAGAGCTGAAGGAAACAGGAGCTTTTTGGCTGCCAAGACACATTTCAACTTCTTATAACAAACACCAGGAACTGCAGGGGAAATCCTTTGATTCATTCTCTAAACCACAAAAGCTGCTTGGCAGAAATCTGTCACACTACTACTGACTGGGGAGGCCAGGACAGCACCTGAGAGCCTGGCTCCAGGTCCATGAACACCCCAGACAAGGAGATGTTCCTACCTTTCCAAAGTCCTCTCTTTCTCAGAGGCAGAGGTTGTGTCCAGGTTCTTTGTACATTAAAGAAACCAAGGATGTTTGAGTCTTCCCACATGGTGGGAAGCCCACCCAGGGAATGAAAACCTCTTCATAATCAGAGTTGGAAGTTAAAAAGCACAAAATGGATGGACCAAATGGATACACTAAATCTGCTGCAGCTTTTTGACATTTTAAAGTTGCTGCCAGCAGTGCAGGAGGAAGTAGAGAGCCAGACACTTATCAGTCACACAGTTTCAAAGAGAGAAGATGACTGAGACTTTGGTCATGCTGACTTAAGCTGAACCCCACTGTTCACTCCCTTTTTCCTCAGCTACACCACTTCCTTTTTATTTGTCCAGGTTGTAAGAGCTTCAGAGCACAGTTCAGACGCATCTCATCTCCTCTGTATCTTTTCAATAATAGAAAAAGGACAAAAATGGCAGAGTAGCAGATTCAACATGAACCTTCTGGTGTGCAATGAGCACACCTACAGAGCCAAAACCTTGCAGTGGGTGAAATCCACATGCTATTTTGGTATCTAAAAATGTAAATTAAATGGCTATCTCCCAGACAAATACATTACAATATAGAGTAATGTTAGAAGGCTAAACTAGACAGGCTGCTCCAAAGGAGCATAAGTGTGATACATAACTTCATAAACCTGGAGCAGCCTTGGCTCTGTAACCAACCACAAATGAGCACACACACTGCTTGGACTCACTTACATCTGTGCATTTGTATTCATTTCCAAATGAGACCTCTTTCATTAGGCTAGCTCATGATTTTGCGTCTAATCTCAAGGACTGCTTATAATCTTGCCTGATTTCCATTCATCAAAATTAGTGTCTCTAGCTAAATGGTTTTAGCTGGTTTAACTAGCTCAGTAGTTTTATCTATGAGGCATATGACATTGCCAGGCATTTTCCACTACAGTAAACATCTTATTAGCACAGCCAAGGGAAACCTCAGACACGTTCATCCTGCTGTTCATCCAGAAGTTCATCCATCCCAAGTGGGCCAGCAGAAACTGGAGACTGAAAACACATTTATATTCAGAGAGGAGGGTCACCTTTTGGCAGGTGAGGGGAAAGAGAAGTGTACGACACTTGCTGGTTTGGCCCTAGTACTGAGCTGGTGCCTCTGGTCACGCTACCATATGCAGAACAAGGGCAGCTTTGGATCTCAGGGGAAGTAACAGACAGACGTGTTTCTCAACCACTCTGCGTTTCAGTATTTCAAAAGCAGAAAGCCAAGCAGCCAAGACGTGCTCGGTGTCATTTTCCTACATATGTTTGTTTCTATGTTTTGTTTTTGGTTTTTTTTTCTTTTCCTCTGTTCAGTCTGAGGTTTTGTGTTTGTGAAACCTTGCTGTTGGCTAGCCCTTGCAGCAGCTCAGCCTCATCCAGCCACATGCGGAGCACCCCCCAGTGGTTCTGGGGGAGAATCAGAAGGGTAAAAGAGAGAAAACATTTGAGCCAAGGTAAAGATAGTTCAACAGAGAAATCAAAGCTGTGCATGCAAGCAAAGCAAAATAAGGAATTCACTCACTATTTCATATCTTCAGGCAGTTGTGCAGCCATCCCCAGGAAAGCAGGGCTCTGTCACACCTAACAGCTACTTGGGAAGACAAATTCCACAGTCTCCCCTTCCTTTTCCTGAACATTTATTGCTAAGCCCTATGTCATATGGTATGGGATATCCTCCTAAGATGGTGAAACAGCTCTAGTATCTGCTCAGAAAGTTCAAGCCAGCTCTGCTCTGTATCCTCCAAGTAAAATAAAGTGGAGCCTACCCTTGGCAGGTATTCTAATTGCATGAGTGCGCCTTGGTTTGAAATAGCCTTAGAGGGTCTGTTTTTCTCTATGTTATTCTCAGAGAGAGAAATCTGTGACAAATATTCTCACGTCAACTTGAAAGGGAAGTAGATTAAATGCAGCTTTTACCAGCCACCATCTCAGCCCTAAATCACACACACTAATCACCAAGACAGTGGTTGAAGAACACATGGAAAGGCTCCCAGAAAGGAACCCATACTGAAACTCTTTTTATCTATCTGCCTACAAAGCTCCCCACCAGGTTCTGTATTTTGAAGGTGGTTACTGACTTCCTTTTTCCAGATAGCAGAGATGTAGCCTGAGATTTTTAATAATACCATATGCAGTGGGTTCTCACTATTTTCTCATTTCTGAAATTGTATTTCTCAATTTCCTAAGAAACAGTGAGAGGAAAGCAAAATCCAGTAAGGATCTTACATGCAGGAACCCACCCCAGAGTGAACTCCAAACTGATTTGTTCCCAAAGCTGCTGTTTAAAGAATAAGGACAGTTAGGCGTTTCACAGGGTCTCAGGAGAATCAGTCTTCAAGGCAGAGAGCCCATGTTAAACCACCAAGACAAATCACCAAACAGGAATGTGCAAGGGGAAATCCCTTGCCTTTCGGGGATGTCACCAGGTATAAGGAAAGATGTGGTAAGTGTAAAGAAAGGAAACCCCTACACTCAATATCCTGAGCCTTGAAATAATACCTTCTGAAAACAGGTATACAGAGAGCTGTAGTATGGTTCATAGAATTCAAAGGAAGAAGGGTTTAATCTTCTCTTAAGCAGGATTATCAAGTAGTAATAAACCAGTATATTTGAAAGGTTGGATCATTCACCCAGGAAGTGAGTCACAAAACTTAACCTCTTCCTCTGCCCAAGGAGGGATCCAAATCTATACCAATTTCAATACTCAGCACACCAGGAACTTTTGAGGCAAGATAGCAATTCAAGGAGGAAGATTTTCCACCTCTCTTGAAGAATGCAAAAGGAAGCAACTGAATAATTTTTTGTTAGCAATGAGAAGTCATCTATTCTTGTCTCTCAGTACCGGTTATGTATTTTATTCATAAATTGCATTTAATGTAAATGCTACCTACATCCTTTGGATGCCCTGTAGGGGAACCTAACAGCCAACACAAAATTTGTGGGGACTTGTCAGTGTGTATAAGACATTCTCAGAACAGATAAACTGATAAGCCCTTAGGGAGATTCAGGAAAAAAAAAACCAACAATTGATTTCTGGATACCAGTCAGGCTGAGACATAATTGAAGTGCATCCCCTGCCAAGACTCAGTCAGCATTGCCAAATCCAAACCTATCTATCTTTTTCACCATTTAAACACCCCAGTTCCACACACTCCACACCTCCAGGCATTAAAGAAATACTTTCAACAAAGTATTTTAACAAGGAAATAGGAACCACAGAAGACAGAGACATTCCATATCAAAACTTGTCTCAGGGAAGAGTAGAATTCATAGCAACCATGTAAGAAAAAAACCATACTATTACAGTGTGAGAGTTTTGAAGGACTTGAACAACCAGACGTAAACTCAGGAATAATCCAGCGATGTTAGCAAACCTTTGCTTCAGCTCTTACCAGTGAAGATGATGTAGAACACGATGAGAAGGAGGACATAGCCAAAATGGCTCAGGGGGATGGATATGCTAAACTGTGACATTGCTATCTACGATTTGGAAACAGAGCATGTAATTACAGAGAAAAAAACAGGCTAGAAATGAGAACAGAGTTTCTCATTATTGGAGATTTAAAGCCCTGGAAAGGCCTTTCAATAGATACAAAGGGCCCAAACTTGGTCAGTTTTAAGAGCTTCATAAAATAGTGAAGACTGGATCAAAAAGACTGTAGGTAACTTTAGCTCTTATAGGTTCAAGTTTATAAACCACATAACAGAGACTCAACAAAGTTCTTGAGAGGCTAATCACAACCAGCCTTCTATGGGATGAAAAATACTGTTAGAATACAATAAAATTTCTGCCAGATCAAATAATAGTGCAGACAAAGACAAATTTTTCTTCCAGTTCTTCAGATTTTATATTACATATGGGTAGTTCTGGTTCTTTGGCTCTGTGCTATAATTACTATGTTTCATGGAAATTCTGGACCATCTCCTTATTTCTTGCATGGTCACATGCAGGCACAAGTCCTCAAAATGAGTGGGAACATTTTGTTACCATTATACTCAAAAATGGATGCTGACAGCAATCCTCCATGTCCTGCTGCTCTTACAACGAAGAGACCATGAGGCTGTTAAATGACGCTCACAGTAATGCTTCACATGCAGCAAGAAGAAGGATGCATCTTCCGCAATGAGTGCTTCCTCCTTCTGCTAGAGCAATGCCATAAAAGTGAATTTGAAGCCTGGAAACAGTGTTCACCTCGCACTAGCAGGTAGACATAATGCAGTCCTCTTAGTTTCTGTACTGGTGCATCAGAAAAAGCAAATTATGGTGCTTGCATCTTTTTCTTCATGGAGCTGCTAGAAAAGGGGGGCTCTGCTTCTGGAAGGACAAGTGCCCTGGAAGATAAGGCTGGTATTGCCCAGGCTCCCTGGAACATGTTCAGATCATTGTAGACAACCTCATCTTAATTTGAATCAACAGCTCAAGATTCACAGATTTTCAGAAGGTATGAACACCATAGGTAGAATGAGGATGTGGTTCTGGCAGCATTCAGCAGAGATAATACCAGTAATTCATATTTTGCTTTGAGTTTACTTTCTTTATAAAATTTATTGCAATAAAAGCAATACCTTTTTTTTTCTTCCAGAGAAACCCAAATAATCAAGAGATCTGTCAAGACTTCTCTATTGGTTTTCTCTTTGAAGACAAATAGCATGCTTTTATCTTCATACACAGAATATTCTTCTATGAAACTTCAGCCCGTGGGAGACACTGACAGTCTCTGAAAAACAACCAAATGGCCAGGAGGCCAGCTTTAATCATTTGTAGCTAACACACTGAGCAACATAGAGAGGCTGGGTAGAACAATTCTACGTAGGAAGTCAAAAGGACTGTATTACCAGCCTTCAAAGGAAAGACAGGCTTTCGTGGTATAAAAAATAGTGGTGCTGTAGTTATACCATATTTGCTGCATTCTGTGTGAATTATTTTCATTCAAGTATGAACTGTGTTGGAGGCTTTCTAATTTACATTATGCTTCTGAATGCATTTCTATAGCTCCTTTTGAGGAGAACTTGGGGGTTTAAACAAATTGAATATTGTTCTCTTTCATGTAGATCATCCGGACCCAGTCAATGACTCAGTTTTTTATAGCCCTTTTAAAATTTCATTTTATTTTTAGAGAGCAGAACCTTTTTTTTAGTTTGTTGGATCCTGTTCTTTTGCAGAGACACATTTTTCGAGAAATCACAAGTGGCTTCATATAAACACTCAGGAAGGATCAGAGACTGGAAAAGCTGTAGAGGCCATAGGAAAATCTGAGGCTGGAGCACAGCACTGTCGTATGATGCAATGTATTACAGCAGATATCAGATTAAGTGGAATTGCTACTTGCTGTTCAACATATTTCAAGCCTTTGCCACGCTTGTTACATTGGGAAGGGATGGGGGCAGCCAGGAGCTGTGTTTGCTGCACAACACAGCAGTGACAGCATGATCCAAAGGAAAGAATTTGCTATGCTCAGCTGTGACAGAGCAATGCTGCTGCTTTCCTGGGCACGGGGCAACCATCTGCTGCCTCTCACAAAATGCAAGGGCTCCAGCTCCAGATTTTAAATTCCCAAACTCTCTAACTCTAAGGTCAGGGAAATACAGCCTGAAGCCTAACCCAGCTGAGGGTTTTCTCCTCTCTCACAGACAGTCCCAGACTAAGGACCACATAGTGAGTCTCTAGGGAAGACAAACTTGGTTTTCCTCTTTCTTTCTCAACTTTCTGATGGTCAGTACCCTGTCACTCCCCATCTGCAGCATATGGTGCTCACATCCATTTTCACCTGCTTCTGAATCCTGTGTCGTTCTCTGCTGTAGAAACAGTTGTCTGTGACAAGGGCAGCAGATACACTGCCAGAGATGTCTGGATACCTAACCTCTAGGTCTTATAGCATGGTCTCTGTTATCAGGAATAGTAGATAGCTTGGAAAACAAAAAACAAACTCCAAAAAAAACCAAAGAAATAGGAAAAAAACCCAAAGAAAATAAAACATTATGGATGTTCAGGAAGCTGTCTCACCAGGTCTTTTCAGGGCCAGGCATGTGTGAGAGTTTGACAGCTCAGAAGCAGCACAGCTGTGTTCACATGGTGCTACACCCATGTAAACCAGCCCAAGCAGTGCCATGCTGTCACACAGAGCTACCTCATGTGTCTCTGCACCTGAGGCAATCCATACCTTAGATAATCTTCCCAAGAACAGTAATGAGTTACTGAGAGTAACACGTACACTAATCCCCAGAGCAGACCAACCCAGGAGTGTCACAACCCATTTTACAGAGGAGGAATGAGAACTTCAAAGGCCTTTGGGAATGGTAGTGCCCAGTTTTGAGGCTCCCTCCTGCAGTCCTCTGCCCTTGAAGAGGGACGCAGGCTTACAGGTTGCTTGCGGTAGGGACGGGTGCCACAATGTGTGAGTGGGAGATAGATACGCACTGCCAACCAAGACCTGTTAACATAGAATAAGCTAAACAAGGCAGTGCATCTGAGTATGACTGTTGGCAAGGTATTTCAGTTCTTTTGTTCACTTGGTGCCCATTGTAATTTGCCTAAAGCTTAAAGTTGGTCATTTGGTAATTTTTGCAGAGCTAACAAGGACTAACTATGTCCTATGTTATATCTGTAACTGCTTTTTCTGTTACCACAGAAATACCATCTTCAAAATGTAGTTATTAGAGAGCCTCCAAAACACAAGAGATTCATAATAAAGCAGTATAGCATAGATTAAAACTTACTAGTGAAATGCATTAAACATCTTTTCTCACGTTATAAAATTCAGCAGGACTTTTTCAAATGACCACTCATTATTGGTCTGTTTGGTTCGATTGAAGTCATCTGTGAAACTCCCATTAACTAAACAAGAAGCACGGAAGAAAAGCTGTTTACCACTCACACTCCATTTATCTTCTAAAGTAAGTCATGCTCATACATGCCCAGGACTATATGATCAGTAATTCAATAGTTATTTCTCTGAAATGAGAAACAGGTTTAAAAGAAATCCCCACACTTTACTTCGTCTTACTTGGGTTTAGAGTCAGAGGCAGAACCTTTTTTTCTTCTACCAAGGAGTGAAAAGTATTGTCAGAGGTAGCAGCAACATTTTCCATCTGCAATATATACACTCAGCTCACTGGTACAGAACACCAGACAGTGTGATCTCAAGTGACAGCTCAGCTGAGCCTTTCATTGCAGACAATACACTATGGGCTCAGAGGACTTTTCTGTAAAGAGGAAAAGAGCATCTGGGCAGCTGCTCTACAAGAGGACTTGCTACGCCTTTATCTCTTAGACACCTGTAAGCTGTCTTCATTACTTCATCTTCCTTTCTTCAGATACAATCTATTATGAATTGTTAAGGGATATTGCATAATGTATTTTACTAATAAGAGGTTACCCACAGATGGAAACCTGTATTAGATGAGGCAATGCTATATATCTGCCTTGACAGGTTTGTGAGCTGTGAGCAATTTCATACCACTTGATGCAGTTTTATCTTATAGTAACACATACAGTTGCAGAGGATATCTCATTTTATTTTGATTACAAAGTCTTTGAGCAAAGACCATCTCTTGTATAGGCAGAGCCTAACACAATAGGGACCTGATTTTGTCTGTGTGCTCCAGATACTTCAGGGATGTAAATTCTAAATATTATTAGCCCACAAGATTGAATTACTCCCAAGTCCTTCCACCACATAAAGTTGGCATAATCCACTTGGTGGTGTGTCAGTTGCTTTACAAAAATTACTCTGTGCATTTATTGCAAAAGCACATGTTAAAATAAAAGCTACAAGCTCAGAGAGAAACACACATGCATCCAGATGTTTACAGAAATACTCCTCAGCTGCTGCCTGTCTCTGACATCCATAGTCATTGAGTCTCCTGCCACTGGCCAAACAAAACCACTGCATCAGACCATTAACCACCTATACCACATCAGTTTTACTACCAGTTTCCACCTTTACATCCAACCATTACCAATTAGACCCAGACCAGGTTCCTCTATTACCTGGATCTTTGGTGAGCACTGTAGTAGAGTATCTAATTTGGGCAGACACTGAAAGACAAGGAGCTGAACCAGCTGAAACCCTTGAAAAGATACCAGAATGAAGAGCCACAGTAGCAACAGGTACTTAGACAGCTGCTGGAAAAAACATACAATCCTGCACCAAAGGAAGATGTGTTAGCATCTTCTTAGGTGGGCTCTGGTCTCCTTGCTGCAGCCCTTAGAAAATTACTATAGTGACTATGGCTGTTTCAGCTCTCCCTGAGGCACAGGGGACAGCTGCTGAGATCTGAGCTGGCTGTCACAGCCAGAGGGTGCAGGGCTCAGCTCCTGAGGTCAAGCCTTATGTGCAACACATGACTGCCCCTATCCTGCTTTTTGCAACCCTGATGGCTACACATAGCACACAAAAGCCTCTATATTATCTACTCAGCATATATTTTTACCTGGGAGGGGCTGGTCACCTTAATTTGGGAGTGGAGACCTCCACAGAGGCAAGAGCAATTAAAATCAGGTTTTGCCATCTGTGGCCATGTCTTGTTTGTTTTGCGCCTTTGGAAAGTTCAGCCTTGCATGTATTCAGCTTTTAGGGCTTTAGCAGATTTTTCCAGCCATGTGAATCAAATTGTCATTGAGTACAGTCATTTCAAATCAGATCAAGTGTCAGTCTTCAAATTAAAATGTTAAACATAAAAAATCAATTGAAGTATTTTACTATTGCACTCTTAGGATTACTGTAGAGATGCAGTTACGGATTTCAGTCAGCCGTGGTTGACTGCAGAGTCCAGGACTATCTTTAGAGCCATGCCTCCGTTTGCTTTTCACGCATACACATGGCCATTGCTCATCTGGATGACATACTCCTGGGCTGAGCACATAGAGCATAAATTCATGCTTGAACACTCACCTGCAGCCCATAGCATAAGTTTTCTGCTACTGGGTTAGCAAATAGGTCTCACCAGCTGGGAAAACTTTGAAAATGAAGTATTTGTAGATTGGTACTGAGCTCTGTGTGTCTGTCTTACTGGAGACCAAAGCACCCTTGAATCCTCAAGTGTAGGCTCATCACTAGGGGAAACCAGAGCAGAACAACAATGAAGAAAGTTTTGATTTAGTACAGCCTTAAGCCTGGCTAGGTCAAACTTCTTTTCTGTTGCCTTTAGACCTTCAAAAGTCCAGGCATTGGCACTTACAGGGTATTGGAGGCTTCTGGCTCTGGGCTGTACTGTCATTAAAAGCTCCTGTATGTAAAATTTGCTAAGGGATTTTGCTGTTTTAAAACTGTCCTCTGCTGCTACATGTAAGATCCAGCTAGAGCAATCATCCAGATCATGATTTTGAGCAATTTTTCTGTATTCTTTGTGTCACAAAGTACCCTGAAGCCCTAGCACATCTCTTCTATCTTGCAATGTAAAGAGCTGGTGTCTGCACAGGATGTGGGAGTAGAAAACAAATGGTGAATAAAACAAAGGGAAAGTATATAAGACCATTACCTTTTACAGCTGCCACTGTAAGCAACTGATCAGTGTTGCACAGAAAGTCACCAGCCCAATTCCAGTTAAGTGTTTTACAAACATGGTAGGTGGGAGTAGTAAAACAGAGGTTTTGATGACTATCTATTGACACAGCTCCACGTCATGCTTGTAAACCGGGGATAGTCTAGTAACAACTTGAGGGGGTTGGAGTAGGTACATCACTCACTTACAGGGTATTCTCTTAGGAATATGGTGTAAGTGGGCACTGCCCATCTTAAATATAAATATTATGTGTCTGTGATGACAGTGGTGTAAGTGCTGAGGAGGTGGGGGATTCCAGCAGGGCATACACCCAAAAGCAGTCAGTGCTAGAGAACTTTGTTACTAGAACTCAATGGCTTTTGCAAGGATCTTTCAATCATGCTGAGTCACTATTTTGGCACAGCAGAGGATAAAAACCAAGGCAGAGATTGCATCAAAGAAATTAACAGCAGGTAAGCATGGTTGTTGAAATAAGGATCAGGGCCAGAAGAGAGTAAGCAAATTGCTGAAGGACAGGTTTTATAAGACCTTGGAAGGTGGAGAATATCTTGAGGAAACTTCCAGGTATTCTTCCTAGGGAAGGTGTTAAGAGTAAACACACAAATGACCATACTGGGTCAAACCAATGGTCCACCTTCCCTGGTATCCCATCCTCAGAGATAAGCCGGTGCCTGAGACAAGAACACAGGAGGCTGTGCACGGTATATCCTCTGAATTCTCCCCCAGATTCAACTTGATCTATGTGTGGTTTTCTATATCTATTAAGCATCTGTGGACTGCTCTTCCACACATCCATGTTGTAAAGCTACCACTACATCCTTCAGCAACAAGCACCACCAGTCTAATGCCTCCTCTGTGAAGGGCATTTCTATTTGTTTTGAATCCAGAGCTACAGCACAGTCCTCACATTATATCATAGAATCATAGAATCATAGAATAGTTTGGGTTGGAAAGGACCTTAAGATCATCAAGTTCCAACACCCCTGCCATGGGCAGGGACACCTCACACTAAATCATATCACCCAAGGCCTCATCCAACCTGGTCTTGAACACTGCCAGGGATGGAGCATTCACAGCCTCCCTGGGCAACCTATTCCAGTGCCTCACCACCCTAACAGGAAAGAATTTCCTCCTTACATCCAGTCTAAACTTCCCCTGTTTAAGTTTTAACCTGTTACCCCTTGTTCTATCACTGCAGTCCCTAATGAAGAGTCCCTCCCCAGCATCCCTATAGGCCCCCTTCAGATACTGGAAGGCTGCTATGAAGTCTCCATGCAGCCTTCTCTTGAAAAAAGCCACAATGAAAATAATAGTTACCCCTGAGGGCAACGGGACCCAAAGAAAACTAGGGCCAGATGTGGACAAGGCCAGTCTGCCCTTGATGGCACTGAAAAGTCACATAACATGGACACAATCACTCTACACTAGTAGCAGTGTGGACATGAGCAGAAGGGCTAACAGTGCGAGGTGGGCCCAAGATCTGACAGTATGAAATGCAGCACAACAATAGAGTGCAAGAATGTAACTTTCTGCTAAA